CGTATCTTGTGTAATCCCCGCTTCTCTCACTACTCAGTTAGTTATCGTGTAACCCTCCCAAGCAATTCCGTTACACCACATAACGATGTTGGTTTCTGCCATACTCTTGCCAATATGGACTTATTTTTTCGCGCTACCGTGTAACCAACTTCAGTGACACTGACTATCACACATAGTGCCACCTCTCCACAAGATAGAGCCGCTTCCAATAATTCCTATTCTGAACGTCGTACTTCACTTGGACTTCTCACGGGGCTTCGCATTCGACCATTGACTTCTTAAATAAGGTTACAGAGTATTTTTCGCCTCCAGTCGGTCTTGAACTATTGACCTTGTCTATGAAGGGTTGGCAGCTTAACCACTAAGCTACGGGTGCCAGACCCTCTTATTAATTTATCGTTATTATAATATAGTATACATAAAATAAAATAATTAATAAATATTGCATATAATTAATAAATATTGTATATTGATCATTAAATAAATAAAAGATTATGTTTATTGTTTAAGTGATATTGTATATTGATCATCAAATAAATAAAAGATTGTGTTTATTTAAGTAAGTTTTGTTTAGGCATTATGTTGGTTAATTTGAATTACGTGATAGAATCAGTAGTAGAGAATTTCAATTTTATTTTATAATTATCAAATTTTAGTTGAATTTTTTTTTCAATGAATAGCTAACTCTGTTTTTTAATACATTTGATGATCTAATTAATAGAAATATTAAAAATCATTAATATAATAATAATGTAAAATTTAATGTATAATTTAATGCATTTAAATATAAAAAGTAAATTGGTAAATTTGTTGTTTTTTTTAATAAAATTCATAACTTTTTTTGTTTCAGAAGAACATTTATTCAGTAGCGGTCTTTGACATAATTTTTTTGTATTCTTTATGTCATTGGTTATAGTTATGTATTAAATAAATAGTTTTCGGTTATATTTTTGGTATATATCAAGTTTTTTATTATTGTTTGCTAGCATTATTGATTTATTGAGTAATTTGGTTTGGAAATTATTCGCCTAAACAAAACGCGATATAATTTTAATATAATAAGGCTTCTTTATATACTACATTTCGCATATAAACTCCATGTTTTCCTGGTATTTTTCTATTTTTTACTAAGATTTTTAGGTTATCAGATAAGTTTACTCTAGAAAATGCTACGTATAATTGTCCGTGGGTAAATACATGTTCGAGTAGATAAAGACTGACATGTGGTATTATCTGTTCTTGTGATTTATTTATTGTGAGCGCAAACACAAGTCTAACTGGAAATTGTTTTCTTTTTAGAATAAAAGGCATTTTAAGGTTTTCGGATGTCATCATTGGAATTCTGGGAAGAAAAACTCTCTTGTCATAACGTTCTCCTACAGCTATTTCAGTATCAATAATGTTTTTATATAGTGTTCAGCATATTAATCATGTTCTATTACATAAGCTATTTTTAGAATTCAAGTTACGCAGATATATTATAGGTGCGTTAACTTTAAGTGTTAGTTGATGTGGTAGTAGCCCATTAGGAGTTAGAGAATTAATAAATTCTGTTTAGTAGATGTTATTAGTGTTGTTTAGCACTAAATCATAGCTATAATAAATTTTGAAGTTTCTATTGAATTGCTTGATAACTTTTTTATTTATGTAGTCAACATATTTATTTTTAGTCGTTAATATCACACGATCAATAATATATGAAGTATTGTATATATTTTTTGAAAGTTCAGAATAAATGTATTGAATGAGTTTTTCCAAAGATTTTTTGTGATTATCTTGCCAAGATATAGTCATTTGGTTGGAAATTCAAATCATATCCTCCTCAACCGTTGGTTCAGTGCCATTACCAATTCATAATAAAAATTCATAAAATCATTGTTATTGTTTGCTCTCATATTATCAGATAAATTAAAAACTTTTATGTTTAGCCATAATGGTGATTTGTTAAAGGAAGCATTTACAATTTGTGTTCTTGTTCCTTGCTAAACTACTGGCAAAACTTGATGGAAGTCACCACCAAATATGATTATTTTACCACTAAAAGAATAATTATTTCCAGTAATATCTTTTAATGATTGATCTAAAGCCTCTATTTCATATCTGTGTGTCATAGAAGATTCATCCCAGATAATAAGTTTTGCTAAAAGGAGTAATTGGGCTACTTGACTTTGCTTGCTAAAAGTACATGATGAATTTGCATTAATAGGTATAGGTATTTTAAATCGTGAATAGGTAGTACGATCTCCTGGCATAATTAAAGAAGCAATACCTGAAGAGGCTGTTGCTAATGCAATAAAACCTAATGATCGAATCATTGCAAGTATATATTTATAAAGATAAGTTTTTCCACTACTACCCAGTCTGTCTATAAAAAATATGCTAGGACGATTATTGTCAACATAGTTAATAACTATATTAAAAATATTTTTTTATGTTTCATTTAATGTTTGTATTTTTGTTAAATCTTCAGGTTTTATTAAAATTGATAATTCTTCTCAGAGAAGAGTTTGTTGATCATCAACATAATCAGAATTAATCTTTGGTAGTCCATAATCGTTTATACTTTTGTTATATTGTTGAAGGAATTGATTAATATATTTAAGTACTGCATTAATGCATAACTGTCCTTCTGGTATTCCATTCCTAGTAAAATCTTCAGATATAGCTTGAAAATTCTCATTCCAAAGTTTTTTAGGATCCTCAGATTCTCCAAAAACTAAAATAGCTGAGAAGAGATTTCGTAATGCACAAGGTATATGAAATTGTCTAGCTTCAGATATATATTCACGTAAGGATTTTCAGATTCTAGTAGACCTCTGCATTATGCACTTTCCTTAAATGTATTACATTAATAACTATTAATATGTTTAAGATCATCATATGAAGTTGCACCGCGAACATGATTTAATAATAAATGCAAATAATATCTTTTATTTTCACTTGAGTATGCCATGTATATTCTTCCAATAGCATTTTCTTTTTTTCTTCTAGTCCATTTTTTACTTTGAGTATTCCAGATATAATGAGTTGGAATTTCAGCATATAGATAATTGTGTGCTTCTGGATCGATAGAATTTAAGTGAAAGTATTCTGTTAATATAGTTTTTTTATTATTTTCATTCATAAGGACTTCAACTAATTTATTTTTTTCATTAAAATTAACAATTTTTTGATCCAGGAGGTGTAGTTGAAGACAAACTATAGAAGGATTCATATCAAACATAGGAAATCCGAATATTCTCCAGTATGCTTCAGATGAAGAAATCTATCGGATTTCTATATATTGATTAATTTCATTTACATTTTGATTTTTTTGTGAAGTAATGTCTGGATTCACTTCTATTACTGTTTTGTCATGACCTTTATAAACATATTTATAAAGGTATTTTACTGCCTTTATGCTTGAACAAATTTCCACATTTATATGACAATCATAACATAATAGTAGATACGGATTGTAAGGTACAACCTATCGATTGTCTAATAGTACATCTCTTATTATTTCACACTGACTATTATCTCTATGATAGTATTATGGATAGGAGTTCAAATTTTCAGTTGTAAAAGGGATAAATTCTTTTGGGTAATTTTTTTTACATTTTTCATTTTTCATACATGAAGAATTCGGGTTAAAAATACCACAAGAACCATGCATTATATGAGTAATAACTCTATTATATAATGTGGGTTCATTGTTTTCGTCAAGCAGTTCTGCACATACTATAGTATTATAATCATCAGGGTTTCTTGGTTTGTCTTCTGAACATAAGATAATCAGTATATGTGCATGCAGAAGACCATGCTTCTGAAACTCAATTACGTAAATATAAGAAATAGTTTTTCCTAAGACATTTCTTTGAAAGAGATCTTTTTTTAGTTCTTCTAGTTTAGCTCTGAATACATGACCTAAATTAACAATCAAATAAATAAAAACAAAATTTCATTAAGATATATTTTTATATATATAACATAAATAATAGCTTATTCTAGAATTGACTTATGCTAAAACTCGGAATTCTATTTAAATCCATAATATTTTCTACTATACTTTTTATTAATTAACAATACTATTTTAATTTGACCTAATTATAAAAATTATAAAAATTATTATAAAAAAAAAAAAAAAATCACAGAAAAAAAAAAAAAAAGCTGATAACCTAATAGCCTAATAAAATTTTACATTTGATTATAAAGTTTTAGCATAAGACGATTTTAAGTTTTCACAATATACAATGTAAAAATTTAATTAATAATTGATATATAAAAAAAAAAAAAACGAACTTGTAAGATCAGGTCGGTCTGAGGCTTTCTGTTCCGGTAGAAGATTTTCCAAAATCTCTGCCATTTGGGATTACATGTTATCGTAATAAACAAGTCTAACTTCCCAAATGTTAGAACTAAAGCCATTGCATCTTGATAATGTTAGTACATATCTCGAGGTCCTCCACTGAATGAGAAAGGGAGAATAATTCGTTTTCCAATATTTGCTGTATTGGTATTTCCTGTATTGAATAAATCTGCCAGACCTGAATAAAGTTCATTTCTAATTTTAGGTTAATTGAAACGTAAATAATTAAGTCGTTCATTTTTAATCTTCACATAATTATCTACAATGTATTGTTGAAAAAGTCACCCTCCTAGGAGGATTTATGATGATGAATATTCTCGTGTTTGTAATTTATAGGCATAATATTGCCTTGCTATTACTTTTTTTAAATTTCCATTATTTATGCGTATATTTTGTTCATTATTTGTAGAAGCAGTGAGAATGCCAGGATGCCATCCATATTGTCCTCTTGGAAATAGAAGTGGGTATTGCATGGGATCATATGAACCACTAACTTCTGAGATTTTTTGAAGTTTGCCAAGTTGAGAATGAGCGATTATATCTCGTTTTTGAGATTCGTTAGAATCATTACCTTCAACCCAAATAGCAGCTACTTGTAAAGCTGTAGGAGCATTATATGTACGTTGGTCTAATCCATGGTCAGCTTTAATAATTAATTGATAATTATATATATTATTAAGTGTAGAATGATACTAGAAATTTACAACAAAAGGATTAACCTCATTCAGTATATTTTTTATAGATTCAATGATTTCAGGGTAAAGATTAGGCATTATACACAATTGATTTTTAAGTTCGTATTCTGTGTCATATATATATCATTGCAAGTATTTCAGAGGATTATTAGTGCACAGATAAAGAGATCCAATTGTGTGATATATGCTCCCTTGTACACGAAAAGTATAAACACCATTTTTGCCTATAATATTATAGATTTATTTTATGAATTATTGCGATTATTATTAAATATAAATATATAAAGTATATACATAAATATATAAAGTATATATATATAAAGTAAATATAAAGTATAAAGTGTTATTAAAGTTACCATTGGCTAGCTATTGATCTAGATGAACACCCATAGAAGTAAAAGCGAAAAGAGCATTATAGGCTCATATATTATTTCGAAATCTATGTCTAATCTTATCCGTTTTAATAAATAAATCTAGCAGAGCAGGAGGGGTTTCTTCATCACTTAATACAATTTTTTCATTATTACAACATAAACTATTAGATTCTCCTACAAATTTTTTCACTTCACAATAATTACAGATTACATGAGGTCCAAGGTAAAATAGTTCAATATTATAATTATCATTAGTTTGATTTCTTCCTAAAAGATGCTGTATTGGTTTTTATGACGGTATTTATGCTGAGCTAATTTATTTTGTTCCCAGAATTTTTCTCATTCTACATTATTCATCGTAGCTTGGCATTTATGTTGGGCTACCCTTTCTCGTTTATGACGATATTCTTATTATTAGTTGTTTTCAGTAGCCCAACGTTTATGATGAGCTAACTTGTCACGCTCTTTTCGTTGTTCTTGTTCTATTTTAGTCTCTATGATACGATGTTTGTAGCTAACTATTCTATCACGTTCTTGCCATTGTTTTTGTCTTTTCTTATTCTCCGGAACTTGACGTTTATATTGCGAGTATGTGTTATATTTTTTTTTATTTTCCATATTTACATAGCTTTGCTTTTTTGTATCTGATATTTATATAATATCTATACTGCATTGTTATTATTTCTTATTTCTTAATCGATATCATTTCTCAATTCAGGTATTTATATATTTGTTTATTTAGTAGTATAAGATTCATTCAATTTATTTATCTATTTATCTGTTTAATAAAGGTCAATATTGCATCAAGGTTAAAATAAAATTTAAATGATCTTATCAATAATCAAACTTAGTTTCACATGCACGAGCCTTAATGTTAATGATTTCACAAATTACATAAAAGTTATTTAATAAAATTTTACATAGGATTATTCAGTGTTTAATCAAACCCAAATTCATACACACGAGCATTAATTATTTTATTAATTACACAAAAATTATTTAACAAAATCGCTAATTTTTATGTAATTATCCAGTATTTATCAAGCTTAAGTTCACGTAATTGTATGCATTGAGACGCAATAATCTTATATCATACTATTAATTTTATATCGACAAATATATAATGTCAAGTAATTAATGAGTTACTTATTTAAGATTAATGTGCGTAATTAACACATAATAATTTTTTTAATTTTTATGTAATTATCCAGTATTTATCAAGTTTAAGTTCACGTAATTGTATGTATTGAGGCGCAATAATCTTATATCATACTACTAATTTTATATTGACAAATATATAATGTTGAGTAATTAATGAGTTACTTATTTAAGATTAATGTGCATAATTAACACATAATAATTTTTAATTTTTTTAATTATTTATATCACATAACATATACGTATAATAGTTTGCGATTCATTATATAATGTGTTAAGTTATAACCGGAAAGTGTATAGCATGCGAATCAGTTTATGCAATTTATTATATAACATGTTAAACTATAACCATAAAGTAGATAGAATCCAAATGTGTTAAGTTATAACCGGAAAGTGTATAGCATGCAAATCAGTTTATGCAATTTATTATATAACATGTTAAACTATAACCAGAAAGTAGATAGAATCCAAACCAGTTTACACAATTATGAGTGAAAAGTAAATAGTATGCGAACCAATTTTACGCGATTAATTTGCAAATTTAATCTCATACTACCAAATAACCAACAACCAATCAAAACAACAGGAGCAGACAAACTTACGATTGGCATTTAGTAGTATAAGATTACAGCCCTGACAATCTTTACACTATTAAATTTTACTAAATATGGAAATAATCGTTATCCCATGTCAAAACTCCCCGTGACAATATTCAAAATTCTCTTTTTAGTACGAAGGTAATTTTATTTATAATTAATTGATAGTTGTACAAAAATTTATTAAATTGTGTGGAATACTTGCTAACAAAATGACCCTCCGGGACTATGTAAATCATAATGCCCAAAGGTCTTTTGTTGGCAAAGATCCTAACTATTATTAGAAACATCAAATTTAATTTGAGCAGAATCAGCTTGAGACAAATCTAAATGAAAAATATTTTACATTATTAAACATAATTTAATATTTACAAGTAAATTAAAAATAGATTACCTTCTTTAATCGCATTTGAAATTAATTTTGTACTAATTATTTTACTGGTATACATATGATCTGGATGGCTTGGTGAGGTAATTGGCAATGTTTTAATTACATTATCAGCATCTAAGAATTGCTTTTTAATTTCATTTTCTTCATCTGAACTTGCTATTTTCTTAAGCCAATCTTTAATATTATAATTAACACTCTGTGCACTAGGCCGTTTCTGTGGATCGGAATGCATGCATTGCTTAGCTAATTCAACATAACAATCAGGTGTTCCAGCAGCAAACTCTGGTCGCTCTCCTTTGTAAATTCTTACAGCAAGTTTGGCACAAAATTTTTGCCCATCGAAAGGCCTTTGTCCTGTTGATATTTCCGTCATGATAACGCCGAAGCCGTAAATATCAGCTTCTTGTGTAAATTTACCACCTAATAAAACTTCCGGAGCAACATAAGGCATAACACCGTAAATTTCACCTAAAACATTTTCATCATTCTTTCTAGACAATCCTAGATCTGCAATATAAGATTGTGCACTTTTATTATTGCGTTGGTCTTGTAAAATATTACCACTGTGAAAGTCAGCATGAATGTAGTTTGCATAATAGTGAATATTCCTCAATTCATCTGAGATATCTTTAAGTAATTGTAATTTAGCCCGCCAAGTAAGTTCTCTAAAATGTTTTTTTAAATATTTATAAAGATTTCCTTTATCAGCATACTGAAGAACCATCAAATATTCATTTGTTTTGGTATCTTGGGTTATTCCATATATTGCAAGTTTGCTATAATTTCTTTTACATCTCACATGACTTTTAAACTTGGTAAATTTAAAATAAATTATTAGTTAGTTAGGTCTAACAATTAAATCATTATTTATTTATACGAATTAATTAACTTACTTCTTTCAAAAAATCAAAATTATTTTCCTTAGTACTAGACAAAGTTTTGAGTGCAACAGTGGATATTTCACGTGTTCTTCTATAATTATTTTTATTACCATCAATTTTTCGTATGCCATCCAACCAAGTAGCAGAATATACAGAGCCAAATCCTCCTTTTCCAATTTCTTTATCATCAATTAATCTATCAAATGGAATCCATTCAATTGTATCATTGTGGCTATAAGTTCTAAGTTGAAATTCTCTGATGCAGTCGTCAACATCTTTGTTTCTACTTGTCCATCCTTCTGCCGTGATGTCAGGATCGCATGTCAAACACCACGCAGGGTAAGTGTTATTTTCATTACAGCGTGTACATTTACCGTTTTCAGGTTTCCTTTGTAACCATAATATAATTTTTTATGTTATCATTCATTATTTATTTTAAATTTCATTGTGACTTTGAAAATTATACTCACCGACTTAATAATTAATGCGAATGAAATGTTTTGAAGCGTATTAATTAGTTAATTGTTAATAAGTATTTAGAATTAAGTATTTATGAATAAGTGTTTATGTTCATGATTTTAATTTAACATTAATAAATCATCTTTATACTCACAAACTATTTGAAGGGTATTGGGTAATTAATTAATTGTAAATAAATATTTAGAGTTAGGTATTTATGAATAAGTTATTTATGTTCATGATTTTAATTCCACTGATTAACGTTAATAAATCATCTTTATACTCACTTACTGAATAAAATGATTTGAAAGATATTAGATAATTAATTAATTGTAAATAAGTATTTAGAGTTAAATATTTATGAATAAGTATTTATGTTTATGAAACTGATTCATGTTAATAAATCATCTTTATACTCACGCACTATTTGGTAATTAATTAATTGTAAATAAGTATTTAGAGTTAAGTATTTATGAATAAGTTATTTATGTTCATGATTTTAATTCTACTGAACGTTAATAAATCATCTTATACTCACTTACTGAATGAAATTATTTGAAAGATATTAGGTAATTAATTAATTGTAAATAAGTATTTAGAGATAAACATTTATGTTTATGATTTTAATGAAACTGATTAATGTTAATAAACCATCTTTATACTCACAAACTGAATGTATTAGGTAATTAATTGATAGTAAATAAGTATTTAGAGTTAAGTATTTATAAATAAGTATTTAGATTTATGATTTAATTCTACTAATTAATGTTAATAAATCATCTTTATACTTACTTACTAAATAAAATAATTTGAAAGATATTAGGCAATTAATTAATTGTAAATAAGTATTTAGAGTTAAGTATTTAATTCCACTGATTAACATTAACAAATCATCTTTATACTCACTAACTAAATAAATAATTTGAAAGGTATTAGGTAATTAATTAATTATAATAAGTATTTAGAGTTAGGTATTTATAAATAAATATTTATGTTCATAATTTTAATTCCACTGATTAACATTAATAAAATTATTTTTATACTCACCCACTATTTGAAAGGTATTAGGTAATTAATTGTAAATAAGTATTTAGAGTTAAGTATTTATAATTAAGTACTTATGTTCATGATTTTAATTCTACTGAT